TCTCATTCCTGGTGTGGTACCTGAGAACAAATTGCCTGATCAAGATAACAGTGAGATAAGGAGAATCCTACAGCAGCCTCCTTCATGCTAATTTAATCTCCTCTGCAAATAGGCAAGATTTAAAGGTATCATATGCCTGTCCATTTAATCCCAGGAAAAAAGCCCCGTGCTACAAATGTACCTTCCGTTACCTGTGCTGCACACACTATAAGCATGGCTCTCACAACTGAACTGCCTCTGTAGGCCATCAACACATTTAGCCCTTGTGAGTACACTTTGGTGTAAACAGATTGGCATAGGAAATATAGAAACTAATCACAAAATTGCTCGAGGAGTGGATCATAAAATACTTAAATTTACATAAGTCAATAGGACTTTTATGAATGCATCCTGGACATGAGCAGGAGTGCAGTGACAACTTTGGCTTCTTATACAACGTGAGCATCACGCCCTGTAATTTTAACGTGAGATTTCCAGAGTCGCTAATCCTTACCCATCACTGTAGGCATTGTTAATGTACTGAGGAGTGCTCTTGCAAAGGGATAAATGTTGTGGAGGCAGGATTGTGAGGTTATCTCCTTGTCATTGATGCACAGAGTCATAAAACCGACAGCTCTGTTATGTGCTCCTGTGCATGTTCTCTCTAAGGCAAGGCTTCCCACGTTCAGTGAGACTCAGTCCCAGGAAAAAGTGAACACCAGGCTGGAACCTTAAGACAGCTGGTAAAAATGTCCGGACATATGCTGCCAAAGCCACCATAATTTAATTTGTGTCGGGGCATTGTTCTGGGAATTATTTAGTAAAAGAAATGATAGAAGTGCTTTAGAAAAGAAGTTGAGTTGCCTTTTCCCTCCTACTGTAGGGAGTCCCTATCTCTCTTTCTTCCCAAAATGCACAAGCCACACACAGCACAATCCTCTGCTGCACAAGATGTAGCACTAGCTGCTAGCTGAGATGGCTTTCAAGGCAGATCCAACATGCCTGGAAGACAAAACTCTCACAGCTAGACACGACAACGAAAGGAACAAACGCAGACATGTCCAGAGACAGGAGGCCCCTGAGGATTAATCTCAAGCCTCTAGCAACTTCCCTGTTGCAGTTGTGAAATTCTAATTCTGAAGTCACTCCTTTTTCAGTAACTAGAGTCACTCCACTACCCAAAGCTCATCTTCAGCTGGACTGCTGTGTAATCACTGACATAATCCTTCAGATCTTCCTTCCAAGGACAGTGACACCTGAGACAGTAGAAGAACATTTAACCTTCTCTTTTTCATGCTGCTCAGGCACAAATACAAACACTTGGTTAACATGGAGTCTGTTCAGAACAGAACAAACAGGCATTCTGCTCCAGCCCAGGAATCAGCAATTTGGTGCTCTCTAAATGTTTTGAAGTATAGCTTTTTGTCATGGGTCAGGTGGGCAAAGTCTGATGGGAGCGAAAACATCTGGAAGCCATCAGGTTGCTTTCCTCTATTAGAGCTCATACACACGATTTGAGTTACAGATGTCAGGCAATGCAAAAAGAAAAGAGCTCCCCGACCTGAAGTGGGGTGGTGAAGCTCTGTTTCCCGCCCCCCCCCCCCCCC